ACCTCAACTATCTACTTCTCAACAACCTCCTACTTACCTCAACAAAGAGTTTCCACCATCATCACATAGACTGAAACTCTTGGGAATGGCCAACAGAAGCATTGACAGGTTCTTAAAAGGTAAAAAATTCCTACAACTAAAGAAACCAAAGTACTGGCAGGCTCCTAGAATAGCCTTAAATTGTTGTTGTTGTTGTGTGCCATCAGGCTGGAAGTGACCCTCCAGAAGGTTTTCAGAGGCAGTAAATCGCATGGGAGGAGATTGTCCATCTTCCCGCAGAGCACCTGGTGGATTCAAACCACATGCCTTTGGGATTACAGTTTAGCTTCTTACCACGAGGCCACAGAATGGCCTTAAATAATTACTTTCGATTAGGCTAAGGTTACACTCCACCAGATTCAGCTGTTCCGTTTCAGGTACTCTGGAGCTGATGAGTGTCAGCTGCCATCATTCTTAAGTAGGCATCTGGGCCCTTCTGTGTCTCCAGTCTCTGGCAAGGGCTAAAAGTCCCTGCTGAGAGCATGATGAGCTAGCTCTCCATACTGGAAGGTCTGGCTCCATCCCAGGCTACTCCGGGTTCTGTGCCTATATAGATTCCAGCTCCCTTGTGATAAGGGGTGGTTTTGTTGGAGTCCTTCTTTGGACATTCCAAGGATGTGGTGCCAATTGCTTAGGTATCCTCTGGTCAAAACAGCAAGAAATTAGGATTCTATGGATGGCGAAGAGATTGAGATTGTTCACAGCTTCATTTTGCTCGGCTCCATGGTCAACACTCTTGGCACCAGCAGTCAGGAAATAAAAAAGCGTATTACGATGGGAAAGTCTGCTGTTAGGGACCTCTCTAAAGTACTCAAGAGCAACGGTGTCTCTCTGGAGACTAAGGTGCACCTGATACAAGCCATGGTCTTTGCAATCACTTGTTATGCATCAGAGAGTTGGACAATGACTAGGAAGGACAGAAGGAGAATTGATGCCTTTGAGCTGTGGTGCTGGAGAAGAGTACTGAATGTACCATGGACTGCCAAGAAAACAAACAGATTCATCGTAGAGAGGATTAAACCAAGCAACTCCTTGGAGGCAAGGATTCTGGGGCTTCGTCTGACACACTTTGGGCATGTTGCAAGGAGGGACAGGTCCTTGGAAAGGGACAGCATGCTTGGGAGGGTGGAGGGACGGCGCAAGAGGGGAAGACCCTCTATGAGATGGATTGATTCAGTGACTAGGGTAATCGGGATGGGTGTGTCAGGGGCAGTGCGATTGGCACAGGATAGAGCAGGGTTTAGGGCTGTTGTACATAGGGTCGCTATGAGTCGCAAACGACTCGACGGCACGTAACAACAACAACATCTTGGTTCTTAAGATTGATGGACCTAATTCCACTCATAATTTGGTAATTTACAAGTAACAAGCTAGCTCTGTGTTCAAATTTGTGAAAGCCTTCTGTTGCTCCTTGGGATCTCACTATACCTATTCCCTACTCTTTTGGGGGCTGAGGGTCCAGAGAAGTCAAAGGCAATCTCTTTATTCCCGTCACCCCTTAGTCCACTCCACCTGACCAGGACTGGAGGAAGATACATCAAAGCCTGCACTACGCAGATAACACAATCTTGCTTGCCTAAAATGAGGAGGACCTGAAGCATTTGCTATAGAAGGTCAAGTACTATAGTCTTCAATATAGATTGAAGCCCAACATCAAGAAAACAAAGATTCTTACCACTGGGCCAATTGGCAGCACCATAATAGATAGAGATTGAGATTGTTAACAATTTCCTCTTGCTCAGATCTACAATCTCTTGGCACCAGCAGGCAGGAAATTAGAAGACAAATTGCATGAGGAAAATCGGCTGTCAGATTTCTCCAGAGTGCTGAAGAGCAACAGTGTCCGTCTAGACACTAAGGTGTGCCTGTCATGCTTCAGAGAGCTGAACAATGACTAATGGTGACAGAAGAACTGCTATCTTTGAGTAGTGGTGCTGGAGAAGAGTACTGTACATGCCACGGACTGCCAAAAAACCAAATAGGTCTGTCTTGGAGAGGATGAAACCAAACTGTTACCTGGAGGCTAGGATTTTGAAGCTCTGATATACTTTGGTCATGTTGCCTGGAGGGACCAGTCTTTGGAGAAGGACATCATGCTTGGAACGGTGAAGGGACAGTTCAAGAGAGGAAGATGCCAGATGGGATAGATTGACACAGTATCTGGGGTAATGGGGGTTGGTGTATCAGAGACAGTGAGACTGGCTCTGGATAAAACAGGGTTCAGAGGTACTGTGCACAGGGTCACTATGAGTCAACTCAATGGCATGTAACAGTACTCCCTACTCCTTTAGGGACTCAAGGTCAAGAGAAGTGAGAAGCAATCTCTTTGATCCCATCACTCCTCAGTCCACTCCACCTGGCTTCACACCACCTCCAGCATCGTTGGCTGGAAGAGCCATTAGTAAACTTCGGCAAGCCCTCAACTTCATCCAGCATTTCCAAGTATGGACTGGACCCTCGTGAAACTGGGGCCTGTGCTCCCAGATGAGGCTGCTCTTGAAGGAGCATCTCTAATGGGAAGGGATTCAGATGATGCCTATGAGAATACAAACCAGTAGTTGATCCACTCACCTGCCCACCAGTTGGGTTCTCTAAGCATGGATGGGTTCAGAGAACAAATGCCTGAGTTTAGCAGAGGTATCAGACTCATCTTTGAATGTTTTTCCTTGTGGTCACCATTTTCCCCTTTGGCCTTTCCCTCGATAATCAAAAGTTCACATTCCTTCAAAAGGGTGAGGGGGTTAAGTCTGTGTGCTTTCCGGGCCTGAGAATATGGAATATGTGCATAGGGCTTGGTTTCCCTAGACAATCCTGTTACTGCCATGGCCCCACTCCCTATACGGTGTTGCCAGCGGCGTCCTTTAGCAGGCCAGGAAGGGCAGTTTCTACCCCACGGTAAGTCTGGAGAGAAAGACATGCCAACTGACTATCTAGGCCGCTCTCCCTGACATTCCTGAGGGGGCCATCATCCTGTCAGTGGTTCTCAAACTGTCATCTTTAGAAACACTGTTCTGGTAAAATATATCCTTTCATAACTTCCATATGCATTAGAGGAAACATCACCCAAGATTTTCCTGAGGATTTTGCATGTGAACCTTTCATAGGACACACAGGGCTGGTATTCAGCCTAACCGGTCATTTTTAGCTATTTAAAATAATCTTGAGGTGACAAGAGCCCCAAGCCCCTGCTTCAGTGTCTCCTAGCCATCCAATCCACCTCTAATGTCCACTGAGGTGGCCATTGGTCATATGTGTCTATTTAAATTTTAATTAAGTAAAATTAAATAAAATAAACCCAAGTTGCTCAATTGTCACATGCAGCCGGTGCCGACCATGTGTACAGCACAGAAATAGACCACATCCATAGATTCAGTGACTGGGGTTAATTGAGATGGGTGTGCCAGAGGCAGTGCGGTTGGCACAGGACAGAGCAGAGTTTAGGGCTGTGGTACACAGGGTCGCTATGAGTCACAGGCGACTCGACAGCACATAACAACATCCATCAGCGCAATGCCCGGAGAGCTCTGGAGGGCTAAGGTAAGCAGCTGCACTGCCAACCCAAAGGGAGATGGTTCAAATGCACCAGCCGCTCCGCAAAAGAAAGATGGGGCAATCTCCTGGGCAATTTATAGCCTCTGAAAACCTGCTGTGAAGCCAGCTGAGTTGGCTCCAAATTGACAGCAATGAGTCTGAGGTGGCATTTTTTTTTTAATGTCCAGCACATCAGACCTTCAAGACCTTGTCTGGGCTACTATTTGAAGGTGTGTAATTTGCTGTAATTATTTAGTTTTTTGGAAGAGTATGTAAGTTCACCAGAACATATATTCTATGACCATTCCTGAGAACTCAACACTGCCAACCTCCCCATGTCCCAGGAATCTAAATTCAACTCAAAGCCATGACTATGGTCAAGGCCAAGTGATATGTGCAAGACATCACACCTGAGCACATCTTTGTGCCCTGACTGGCCCAGGAACCTGCTATCTCCTTTCAACAGAAAAGGTTCTATAACAGGCACCCATCCCAGCTCACCCCAAGAACGAGTCCATCAAAATCTGCTTCCATAGAGTAAAAGCTGTTGTAATTGCTCTCTAAAGAAAAGGCCATGCCCCATGTACACAATTAAACTTTTTATAAAAAGAAAATTTACACACATGAATATTTACACATATGAACATCTGGTAACAAATGACTTAGTGGTTAGATGGTGTTTCTAATTTTAAGTCACACCAAGTTGCTCACACTTCCCTCCCTGGGCCTGATGAGGACTTTGGGGCCTAAGGGGGCAGGGTGGGCATAGGACAAGGCACTGTATAAATAAATGCAAAGGCCAAGGGCTTGGGGGAAACATTAGTGTACACCTCTGATCAGAAATGTGGCAAGATCCACAAGAAAAAGTGCCATGTTTTTCCCCCCAAACCCCTCAGCCTGAGGCGGGAGAAGGGCAGAGCTTCTTCAAGGCTGAGGGAGCACTGTCCTGAAGGACTCCATTTTTCCTTCACATTTCACTGGCTTTGGAATGGTCCCAGGGCTCAGCTGGGAAGAGAGATGGGTCTTTGGGAACAGAAGTCACTTAGTGCAATTGTCTCTTAGTGCAGAACCAGCCCTGAAGTTGGCGCTATGCTTTTCTGAGCCCACTGCTCTCTGTGCCCCTCAGGCCAGCTCAGTGACAGCAAAATCCTCTCCTGGAAGCTGGGCTCAGAAAGAGAAGCTTGAAGTCGACTCCTGTCTGAGTCTCCCACTTGATACACCAATCTCAGGACTCCATCTTCCTGGGAGGCAGGTCCAGCTGTACCCTAAAAGGCGAGCCCAGGCCCTGGCCTGCCAGACTCTGAGAGGCCTGCTGCTGCCCCAAGGAGGGAGAACTCATCCCTGCTAGGCAGTGGGGGTTGCACTTTGCCAGGTGATGGGCCCTTAAAAGTCCTGCTTCTCTGTATCACAGCCACCATGGTACAAGTTTGTTATGGTGCACAAGGAATGGCTTGAACCAAGGGCAGCCTGACAGGAGGCAACATGCAGTCCCACCAGCTTGCATCCATGTTCTTCAGATCTGTGAAGTCGCGATGATGGAAGCCCAGCCCCAAATCCCCTAGAAGATATGAGAAGACTGTGAGGCTGGAGGCTAATGCGCACACGCACACACATGTACACAGTCCTCCCAGCCCCTAGCCCTGTCCCTTATGGCCACAGACACAGCCTCTGTCGTCTGCCCACAGCAGCAAGCATCCACTCATCTTCAGGATGATCTCAGCATAGACACAACAGCTAATTCTCAAGCTGGCTGTTCCCAGATGAGTTTTATTAAGAAAGATGCTGAACTCTGCTGCCTCCTGGTCTTCCCCCAACGCCTCCCCCATCCAGCACTGTACTCTCCTCTGCAAACAGTACCCTGGATGTGGATCCAGGGGATTCTTACCAGCACTGTCAACTTCAGGCTCCTCTTTGCAGCTGAAATCTCCATAAACAGGGGTGGGCTGGACCCCAGGCTCATTGAGCAGGTACCCCTTCCCGTCCACACTTGTTGGCTGCCATTCTGACTGCTCCAAGAGCTAGGGACAGAGGCGCAAGAAGCCATTAGTTCACTTCCAATATATACTCACTCTGCATTGGCCCTGCCCCCCTTAAAATCACACCCTTGGCCAGGCCCACACGCTCAGATGGAAGCACAGATAAGAAAAGGGGCCTTGGAATGAGGGGCACAGAAACGCCAGCCTTCCACCAGAAGCATGGCTCAAAGCAATGGCACAGCATAGTAAAAAAAGATGATATGACACTAGAGATGAACTATACCCATCCCTCAATTTTCTGTGCTGGTGGAGAAGAGTCATGGTACTACTAAAACCTTATATAAACTGTTGACAAAATACATATACTTTAAAAAATTGAAACAGAAAAAAAAATCAGAGAATAATTTGTTTAAAAAAAACAAACAAAGCAAAATGTCATCATATTACAGATCTCAAAGACCAATTATTGAAACCTGATGTGCATTTCCCAAGCTAACAGGACTGGGGCATGTTGGGGCAGTGGACACAGGCCAAGGACCCAGTGTTGATGCTGGCTGACTCACAGCTGTCTTTGACTCCAAGGCTTGCTTCAGGACAGCCTGTCAGAGGCCAGGCCGCCTGCCTGCCTTCAATTACCCACACAGTGTGTTTCCTCCAAGCCAAGGAGGGCAGTGATCCCCAGCTACATGAAAATGGCATCTCTGAGACTACACACACACAAGAATGCACAGCAGCTTCCTATACTCTACTCAGAATGTGCTCACTGGCTCCTGCTCCTCACTGAAAAACCACTTCAAAAGGCTGCCCAGGGAGGAAGAGGTTTTACCTTCATGATGTCGTCAGGTAATTTCCCCTCCTCATCTTCATCTGTTGCAGCTGTGGATGATGAAGAGCAAGTGTTGGTGGCTGTTAGCCACACTGGCTCTGCAGTTCTAGCCCCACTAGGTCCCCCTGCCCTTCCAGAACAGGACACTGGCCTCTGAAACTGTACCTCTTCCCCCCAAACCCCCTCACTTTCTTCCCCATACACATAGATTAGGCTGCAGAGGAAGCAGGAAAACCAGAACCTTAGGTCAAAATGCAGCCAGCAGTTCCACTGCACCAAGTCTCTGGCTCGGCCCTCCCCTTTCACCTCCAGCCCTGCAGCCCACCCTGAACTAGCTTTCTGGTCCCTGTGGCTAGCCTCATCCTCACAAGGTTGGTCAATGCCAGCTCATCAACTCGGTGTCAGGGAGAGTTTTGAGCATCTTTTCTCCCTTGGGAAACCCCTCTCAAGACCTAAAGTCAAGCAGACAGGCCAGCTCCAAGAGCACAAACCTTCAGATGTGGAGGGCATGGGCGACACCTGGAAGTTGTACAGATCACTGGTACTGTCTGGTATCATTTCCACTGTCATCCCCCAGTCAGGGTGAGTGCTGCTGACGACACATGGTGAAAGCTCTAGGGGACAGCAAAAGTCACAGGTCAGAGCTGTGCGTTTTCTTAAATCTGCAAGATCCCCTGCACAGCCCATCCCGCAGTCTATTCTCACAGGCCGCCACCCTGAATCCCAAAGATCAAGCCATCCCTCTAACCTTAAGGGTCCCTGCCGGCAGCCCCACCAGATCAGACAGACCAGGCACTACTCACCTGGAGTGAGGTCCTGCTCCATCTCCATCTCCTGTCCCAAGTAGCCCTGAGCCGTGTAGCTGCTGTGGTCATCGGGAAGGGTGGAACTGCTGCGTCCATCAGAGAAGGTGTCAGGGCTGGAACTCCCATATGACTATAGAAAGAGAAATGAGCTTAGGCTCAGCCCTTTTAGGGCATTTCCTCCATTACCCACCATGACCCACAGCTGCTCAGGACCAGACTTACCTTTCTCTTAGCCTTGTTCTTAGTATCCCCGACAGACTTGGATTTTCTCTCTGTGGAGCAGACAGGCTGTCAGCCTTGGGACAAGTAAGCTGGTCCCTGCTTCCTCCTCTCTCCCTAGGACTTGGCACACACCCAGAGCCCTTGGATACCTTTCCTCTCGTTCTTCGTGAGGGGAGGGAGCATCCGGTACACCCGCACAGCAGAGCTGCCCTTATTCCTGCTCTGGTCCTTCACCTCCTCAATGTCTGGCAGCGAGTTCATGGCACAGCGAAAGTTAGCTTTCCATGTCTTGGGATCTGTCTCCTTTTCTCCTGCTTTGTATCGGCCTAGAAGGCAGCAAAGAAGACTATGAGACCTACAGAAGCCTGGGAGAAGGAAGCCAAGAGATATACCCTCATAAAGGCCAGGAGGTATTCCTGGTGACACTCTGTAGGCCTTAGGCTTCTCAAATGCCCAGGCTTAGCCCAAGCATTCCCGGCAGGCCTGTAAAGGCCCAGCCAGAGTCCGGCTGTTGTTAGCTGCCGCTGAGTCTGTTCTGACTCATAGTGACCCTATGTACAACAGAATGAAACACTGCTGAGGTTCTGTGCCTCACAATCATGGCTATGTGTGAGCCCGTGGTTACAGCCAGGCGCTCTAATAGGATCCTTATCCCCAAAGTGTGTGTTTTTGTCCCAAACCATGCCTGGCTCCCGCTTTGGGTAGAAGCAACAAAGAGGGTGGGGACTGGGGCTTATCTGGTATTTCCAGGCATGAGAGGTACAAAAGAGTGGACATTAAACTATAGTTATTAACAGGTGGGCTAAGTGCTCTGAGATGGGCTAAGAGCCCCATCTCACAAGAAAGAAAGGAAGCCACCAATCAGACCAAGAAAGCCTGTCTAGGTGCCTGGCCCACAACTGTTTAGGTTCACAGTCTAACTTTAATTCAGTCACGCACTTCCTGTAGCTGTGATAAAAAACACAATTCTGTCGTTACAGAAGCGCTTCCCCTATGTCCTTCCAGGCTGCAGCACGGGGTACACACCTGTGTGAATAGCCCAGCTCCTGAAGAGACACGCATCCTTATTGATGTCCCAGCCATGCTTGGCAGCATGCTTCCACGGGATCTGGAAGATCTTTTCTTCCTAGACAGCACACATGCAAAGGCTCCATCAGCCCTCGTCCACCACAAGCCGAAAGATCACAGCCTGTAAGGCTGCCATCACCCAGCCCCCCCAGGTCTGGGAAAAGACCAACTTCCTCTTTTCACCCTCACATCTGGCTTGGGTTGGCCCATCCTGAGACCAACTTAAACAGGCAACTAACTCAATTACTCTGGATTTCTAAGGAGGGTCTCTGGGTTCCAGCTGCAGATGGTACCCTCTGCCCAGCAAAGAACTCCTCAGTTTCTTTTTGATAGGTGGCTTGAAGCCACATAGTGCTTTACTCTAGAGTCCTGCTGTGGAAACCAAGCTTCTACTTGGCCGATCAGCATTAGCTTGAAAGGGGACTGGTGACACCTTTCATTTGAAGGGGCTGCTCAGACACTTAGGGCAACTGGTTTCTACACAAGGGCCCCTGAAGGGCCCAACCTAGATTTGGATGTGGACTCTCTACGTACAAATGATATTATCTAGTCCCTCAGTTTTCTCTTCTGTGAAATAAAATCTGTAGGGTTTGGGGTTGGTTTTTTTTTTTTAAAAAAAAAGAAAAGAAACTAAACAAAACCCAGCCCCACATTTTGGATATAAAATCAGAGCATGTGTCAGGACACTGTGATAACTCTAAAGGCCATAGTTTTGTTGTTCTCAATTAATAGTGTGGCTTTCTGACTCAAATTACTCAAGTTCAAGCCTTGGCTTTATCACCTTATAAGTAAGTGATCTGTTATCTACCCCTCACAGCCTCAGTTTCCTTATCTGAAAATGAGACTATTAATGGGCCTACCTCACAAGGGCCATAAATAACATGTGCAAGTGATATACTAGGCCTCGTGTCAGGCACATTGTAAGCATTCAGGAAAAGTTTACTAGTATTTATAAACTATTATCTTTACTAAATGTGCAAAGTCCATGCTGCCTTGAACACATCAGGAATCTACATGGGCTTCTAGGGTCCCCTGATGAGCCATCCACCTTTTTGCAAAGAGTGGCCACAACCTCTTTGTTTTCCTGGCTGTCCTGGCTGGAGGCCTGCAGAATGTCCTGTGTGTGTACACAAGTGTATAACCTGTGCACAGGGAAATGTCCCTGAGGAAACCGCTTCAGCTCTGCAGATGCCGGGAGTTCCCTCAGGTAGGGGACCCATCTATATCCAGAGAAGGGACAAAGGCAGGAGTTTGGCTGGACCTTACACACCCTCTATGGGCAAAATCCCCAGGGAAACACATCTGCCTGGACCCCTCAGCACCACTTCCCTTTTTGAGCTGCTACTGAAGCTTTGGTCCCTAAAACACATGGATTAAAACAGTGGAAAAGTTATTAACTCCAAAGAGTTAAACTCACTTTATTAATCCACACCAACCCTGGGATTTGGTTGGAATTAATCTGCATCTCTAGCCAGGGTCTCATACGCATCCGAGTGATGGGCATGGCTGTAAAGAGAAGACACAGAACTCCTGTTTGGCCGCTCTCGAGCAGTCCCTGGGCACTACCCTGTCCCACCCTCCTCAGTTACCCTCCTCTGCCCTCAGACTCCGCAAGCCTTCCAGCTGGGTACTACAATCATTGCTGTGGGGGACCTGCACTAGAATAAAACTGTCTTCCAAAGCATGTTAGCATCTTGATCAAAAGTATTTTCACTCCTCCTCTCACCTGGTGAGCCAGCTGCTGGAAGGAGATAGGGACGTGGGTAATGCATTCTGGATTTATTTGTAGAAAGAAGCAATATATAGATATTTCAATACTAGAACTTTTCTCCCCAAATTAAAATATTTTGGAGAGGGAGGAGCTTTCAAAAGAAACAACTCCTTTTGCTTGACAGCAGAAAACATTTCCCCGATTTCAGTTGTCACCACTAGCTGTGCACCTTCCCTAATGGATAAGCTGTCACCCTTGCCCTGGACATTTCCTCTTGGATAGAATCCATTCTACGCCTCCCTGACAGCCACAGCGCCCACTGCTCCGAAACTAGGACTCTAACCCTCTCGGCTTCCGCTCAGCTTCCTTCCTTGGTCCAAGTGGCCTGAGAAGCACCTGTGGCGCCTCCTTCGGCAGCCCCGTTAGGTCAGGACCCCCGCCCACCAGGGGCACCAAACCTCAGTCCTCGGTACCGGCACAAGACGCCCAAAAGCCAGGGGCCTGATCCGGAAACTGGGAGCTAGGTAAGCCGGCGCTTGGAAGCACGGGGGCCCACTCGAGTCCCCCGCACGGTGCGCGGGCGAGTCTGACAAACATACCCAGAAACTAGATGCCCGGGGCGGCCCTGCGCGCAGATCTGCGAAAGCAGCCGGGCGCCTGCAACCTCGGCCGGGTGGGCGGTCCACGCCGCGGCCCGCCCTCCCCGCGCAGCCGCCGCTCGCCGCCCCTCTAGCGCCCTCCCGAGACAGCGCTGGGGCTGCGCAACACCGCACGCCCGCGTCTCTCCAGGCTTTGGCGCTCGGCCCCCCACTTCCTGGTACCCTGCGCGCCTTTTGTTCGACGCCGCCAGTCCTTGCCAGGCTCACCTCTCTAGCGGGCACGATCCAGCAGTGGTACTCGAGGGTCCTGGGAAGGCGAGGGCTGCTGTCCAGGAGCGGGGGGTGCGGTCCAAGTGGGAGAGGGAGAAGGCGCAGGCTGTGCCTAGATGGCGGGGTCGCAGGGCAGAGCTGGCCTCGGCTTGCACGGCCCGGGCTGGACGCAGCTCGGCCTCGCTCTGCTGCACGTCCTACCTCGACGAAGGGCTGGCGCGTTCTGCGGGGGCAGCGGCGCCGCGGAGAAATCTAAACACTTAGCGGGATTCCCCGGCCCCGCCTCCCGGGAACCGTGCGGCCGCTTATTGGCCAGCGCCGCCTCATCATTTCGGGGAAATCAGGCTGTTGTATAGCTAGAGGAGAAGGGGGAAGTACAGGGCGGCAGCTTCTCCCCACCCCCTCCGGTCAACGCCGCCGCCCCTGAGCCACCGCGCGCCCAGCTTGCTCACTCCCACTCCACCCCCACTTCGGCTCTCCCTGGAGGAAGACTGTCTTGGAAAGTCAACCGCCTGGGCCGTGGTTACTCCCCGCATTCCCTAGTCCCCAGCTTCAAGGCCAAGTCCTCCTCCCTCCGCCGGGACTAGGGAAGCCTGATCTTCCGAGCGCAGGTGAGGGGCTTGCTACTGCTTTCTCCAGCGTGAACATCGAGATTGAAATGGAGGAAATCAGTTTGGTTCCTGAAGCCTGTTATTGGGGTCCCAAGAAGGAAAGGTTTCGGCCTTCACACGTCCCCTGTTGATGAGGGGTCACCTCCTCCAGGCACTCACCTGCCGACGAGGAAAGAAGCAGAAAATCTGGGGTGCTACTTGGAGCTGCCAGCGGAGGAAATCCTAGCCCGACCGCTGCTGGCGTGGTCTGCCAAGGGACTCCCAGAACCTCAGATTTCTCATCTATAAAACAGCAAGAGCCCCGCTTACAGGGTTGCAGTGACCAGGATCACAGGATGTTCGTAAAGCAACCAGGGCCCCCCTCCCCCTTAGGCATCGTGGTTTGCGAGGGCCATGAACTACTCCTTCCCCTTCTCAGTATGCATCCCTAGGACTACCCCCTTACAGACCTTAAAATGGGGAAGGAGAAGGGGTTCTGAAATTTTAGATTGCTGAAGTGGGCTGAGGTAGCGGACAGCCTTGGTCTCCTGTCACTCTTTCCTACTACCACATCCGTGATCTCGCGTGGCCCTGGCAGGGTCACTCACAGATGTCATTCTGGACAGCATAGAAAGAATTGCTTGGGACTGGCCAAGATTATAGGTCTGGACAAAAGGTTGGGAAGTCTAGGACCCTATACGGCAGCAGTTTAGCCGTTGAGCTCATAGCTAGACCTCTCCTGACTTGTAGTCCTAAAGGCTGGATGAAGATGTTCATTTACCTTCTAGAACTGTGACCAAGCCAACCTGGCTCCTTCCTCCACCTGCCCAAAGCTGCTGACTCAGAAGTGAGTAGAACTCCAGGCGGAGCTGGTTGTGTCACTTATTCACTCACCCTAGCACTCCACAGCAGCACTCAGTTGTGATGATGCAATTATATATAGATACACTGATGCAGCATTCCACTTGTCAGTCATTCTGCTACCTCCTTCCCGTAGAGGAAATGGATGGATTCAATTCTGATGCACCAGGATCTGAATGCTGTGACTGATGCCAAGTCTTGTTCCCAGGAAACCAGCAAGTATAGGTCATTTCTGGTTTTCAGGTAGTGGTGGGTACAGAAGATAGGGATGGCAAGGAGGCAGGACAAACTGAAGAACTGGCCCAGCTAGAAAGCCAATGGAAGGCCCTGAGACCCTCAAACAGCATGAGATGGGTTTTTATTTGAGGAAGGAGGAGTCAGTGGCAGGTGAGATTGGAAACTCGGCTATGGGGGCACCAAGGCTTTCTGGGGAGGGGGGGAAGCAGAGAATAAATGACTCCTTACTTGTGGAATCTCTTCTCTGTGTAGCAAGAATGCATGTGTTTTCCCCAGAATCTGGGGGATGATACACACCACTGCTAGAAAACTCAAAATGAAATTAAAGAGCAGAAGGTTATAGCTCCCGTAGTTTAAGAAATTGACCAATGTGATCTTGTGAAAGCAAACAGCAGATTAAAAAAAATGCTTTAAACCAAGCACTTCGTTCTCATTTCCAGGTAATAGTTTGTGTTTAGAGAGTGAGCATCTTTCAATGCCATGAAATTTATTTCTTTAAGATCACTTGTAGTAAGTACCTATCATTCTATAACAAGGATAAATAAAAATTTACCCAATTAATCCCTGGTTGTTGGGCATTTAGGTAATTTCCATGTTTTTTTCATAACACAACAACATGTGGCTAAATCTTTGTGCACACCAGTAATTTTTTGCATAGGAGACATTCTCCAGTCTTGATATGTTGATATTTACCAGTAAAATTGTGATTCACATTGTTGAAGTTGTTCCTGGACATTTTCCAGATATTCTTACTGTATCTTGAAGCCCATCATGTTTGGGATGCTGTATTCCAAACCTATGAAACAAAGCTAAGCCACGTTTAAGTAACTGAAGTCTTGCATCTTAACAGCTTTTGGTGAAATCCTTTTTTAAAAAGTACCACATATCCCCTATGATGCCAAGCAACACAGCTTCCCTAGATTTTTCTTAGTAATTCAGAGCCGTCAGATCAACAACTGGCCCTCTACTCTCTCTGACTCAAAGTTCTCATCTAATTCCAGTCACCCACTCCAGGCATGTGTCCAACTGGACGCTTCCCTGCAACCCAACCCATAGATTCACACATGCAATCAGAACTCTTGGTATTCCCTTCTATACAGCCTCCGGCAGCTCCACATCTTTCTAATTGTGGCTCCCTCCTTTGGGAAGGCGTTGCCAGCCTCTACTCAATTAATGGAGAGCTCTGGTGGCCTAATCCATAGAGAGCTGCGCTGCTAAACCAAAGACAGTGTCTCTCTGCTGGTTGGTGGAGGAAGAATATGGCAGTTGCCCGCCACCCAGGCTTGATCACTTCCTGAGAAACCTGGTAACATCTAATTTGGTCATATCAAAGACCAGCCCAAACAATGGATCCTGATAAGGGTCTGAGCCTGATCAAAATAGTCTAAACCTACCTTAATTAACACCCCAGATTCCTAGAAATACCATCTTAGTCCTTCCCAGGACCCCTATAAGAAGGAAACACACCCCCCCTCCCAGACTGCCCGGGTGCCATTTCTGTCCTGTCTATGTGCTGTGCGGGCTGGTTTACTTGGCATCCCTCTCAGACCAAGCAATAAAGGCCTGTTGTTTCTTGAGACCAGTTCTTTCCCTCCCTCTCCCTTTCCTTCTCCCTCTCCCTCTCCTTTTCCTTCTTCCTCACCCTTGCACTCTTTTTTTCAATCTAACAGTTAGAATCCACAACTAGCGGCTTGGGAGAAGGATGGACAATCTCCTGTGCAGCTTACAGCCTCTGAAAAACCAACTGGAGAGTCAGCTGGGAGTTGATTCCAGATCTAAGGCTTGGAGTGAGTTTATGTTCCCACCTGTGTCCCCCCTGCACTAGGTCTTTCTTTCACATTCTAGGACCATTCAGATGATCTCCCAGAATTCCACTTTATTCTGTAGCCTTCCAAACACACACCCTTCCCAACTGAAATCCTGTCTCACTCTGGCCCCTGGGCATCACATTCTAACCTTCTTTCCTACAGGTTTCTGACCCTTCATAGTAGCTACAGGGTAGTGGAAGAACACTGGACTTCAATCTAAAAGCTTGGCTTCCTGTCATGCTTTTGCCACTTGCCATATGGCCATAGGGAAACTGACTGCCTATGTCTGAGCCTTGGTTTTATCATCTGTAAAATCTAGACAATCCCTGCTCATCTTTCTTTTCTTTTCCTTGTTGTGTACTATCTAATCAGGTCTGACTGGCACAGAAGGAGATTGCCCCTCCTTCTCCAGGAGCATCTAGTGGATT